AAAATGATGTCCTTACTTCGGATTGGATTAATCTCTGTGATGAATTTTTTTAATAAATTGAGAATAACTTGGGAACGGTGGCTCGTTGCCGACCATTGCGCCGGGCTGTACTTATTATATACATATACATACAATAATGTCGATATGTTAAAAATGGTGTCATTAATTTTAATAGTAAGCGTTTTGTGAACAGATTATATTATATACACACAAATAATTTGTGTAAAATAAATAACTACATTATGTATTTATTTCCGAGAATTTAGAAAAAATGTAATTTCTGTGATAGAAATAGTTACTGTTAATGTTTTCATAATACTAGAATTAAGTATATTCAGTTATTATCAAGGTCTGTTTATAATAGGACTCCCTGAACTTAGATATCCTTGGTCGTGGAAAGTTGCATGAAGTATATATTTTTTCATATTTTTTTAAAATCATCTGGCCTTCGAACGTCATTTTTGATAATTTATTTAAATTATTAGTCTTATGGAATTATTTCCATAAGACTAAAGTTGGTGATAGGTAACGTCATTGTTATCAATGACGTTACCTATCAGGCGCAGAAGCGAAAATGTATATATTTTAAAACAACGATAAACAAGTTTACAGAATGAAAAGTTTAGAAAAGGAACAGTTGGGCAAAATGTCCCGAAAAATTTTGTTAATCGGTCATACAAGCATCCGATTATGTTTTTATAGATAAAATCTATTTATTGATCAAATATATTAATTCAAATGGAATAAACAAGAAACTTTTTATATGCTTTAATTACTAGTGATGATGAATTTAAACTTCTGTGCATGACCTATCATCATCGACATCAGAATTTAAAATAACATAAGTGGATATTTTTCTACATTATTAAAAATATATTTCATTTCATACACATTTTCTACATTATCAGATATATGCATTTTATTATTATTTTCCTAGTCTTTATTTCGACTTTCACTTTATATACATAACGGGAGTTAATACATTAATTACAATAATAAAAAAGGTTATATGCTCTAATTACTAGTGATGGTGAATTTAAACTTCTGTGCATGACCTATCATCATCGACATCAGAATTTAAAATAACATAAGTGGATATTTTTCTACATTATTAAAAATATATTTCATTTCATACACATTTTCTACATTATCAGATATATGCATTTTATTATTATTTTCCTAGTCTTTATTTCGACTTTCACTTTATATGCATAACGGGAGTTAATACATTAATTACAATAATAAAAAAGGTTATATGTTTCGAATTGAATAACTGATTATCAAAATCTCCAATTTATTGAAGAAATTGTAAAACTACAATGATAACGATTTGAGACAACTGTATTGTCTACACCCTCAGCTCCACCTGCATGTGAAGATATTATATAATATCTTCTTTCAAACGTACGTAGCTTTCCCTATACCGAAAATGATCCATTTTCGAGTTATTTCAAATTATTTAACAAAGTAGTTAAAGGATTATTTTTAACAATTTCAACAAATTTATCCTTTCTTAAATCAATTATTTTAAATAGAACGTGTTCTGTTATATTATAGTTCGCTTGTCTCTTTTATCCTCTCTATAGATACTAGTATTCCCTATACCTAAACCTTATGGTTTATGAGTTATCTCAAGGTATTTATTAAAATGACTAAGCGAGAGTTACATTGGGTTCAGTGTGCCATGAACAATTATGTTAATGTATTATAACTAAGGTCCGGAAAGTTTGCCATAACGCATGTTAAACTGCATTTAACTATCCAGCGTTTCCGCAATGAGACCGGCGTACTATCACGCACACGCGAGTCGAGCACGGTCAGTACCGTATGTATGCACCGGCAATAAATACACGCGTACATAATTTAGAAGGCGCCTAATACGGTCATTATCATAGAGTTGTATAGAGCCGACCACGTTTTATGGCACACATTTCCGGACTGTAATTAAATTAATTAGAATTCGGGACCCCACAATTAGATTTTTTATAGGAATATGTAAGTATCAAATAAATAGGTATCAATCGTACCACAGAAGTATGGTACATCTAGAAAGAGGACGAACGAATGAAGTAAACGGTATTATAAATTATAAAATGCAGCAAGTTATTTAAAATGGCCGGCTTAAGAAAGGATAATATTGTTCAAATTCAATCCTTTAAACACTTTTTTAAATCATTTGCAAATACTCGAAAAGGGTACATTTTGGGTATAGGGAATGCAAAGGAAACTAAAGGAATACTAAAATATATTACATTTTGTTCAAAATAAGCGACAATATAACGAATAAAGGAAAAAAGGTTTTAAGTTTGACCCTCGATTTTTCGAGCACCGAGTTTTTCAAGTTTGTTTACAGCAATTTTTCTGTAAATCCAGAATTATTGACAGTAAGCTCAATCTTTCATACTTATATGGTAAAAAAAAATGTATAATTGAAATATCTCGATAACTTTTCATTTTAGAGATAGACAGACAGATAGTTGTTAATCCTGGAGTGGGTACTGGAACCTTCGGCGTAAAAACAAAAATCTGGACGTTTTCCGCGAAACACCGAACTACTATACTTTTCTCGACGCCCGTTTCGCCAACTAAGTTGGCATCTTCAGAAGAAGATTAACACTGAAGTTTTGATTACAAAAACACTTCAAGTTTAAGTCGTCATTATTTTATATGTGTAGAGCATCCCCGAAAACATACACATGTATGTTAAAAGTGTTGTTTCCAATGTTAATAATACATTACATTCTTTGTTGGTTTTATTAATTTTACATAGACAATTAAACGAGGAAGTTGTTTTCTTTGCCTGATTGACATTTATTTTTAGTTCCATGGTTAACTTTGATCTGCTTATGTAGTTTTAGTTCTCCCATTTTTCAAAGTTTAGCACCCAATAAAGAACACTCAGTAGACATTTTTCGATAAAATTTTGCACATGTGTATTTTGAATAGGGTTTTAAATAGCCTGAAACTATTTTTTTGAATACAAAAAATAACTAATATCTACAACTTTATAAATACAGGTACCCTTCAAAAAATCGTAGTATGTCAAGCTTTTGTCACACAAATAAAATGGTTAATTTAAAATGATCACCATTCAGGTAATTAAAAAAAAATTGGCGTGCGACATTTCACATCCTTCTCTAATTTCTAGAGGTGTTTACTTGAAAAATCTGACACACTGTACGTATTGTAACTTATTGTACTCAAACTGTGTTACGTTATTTCTTGTTTTCAGTATGGACGGGATTATCTTACTGACTATGGATATAGAACCTACTGAATTACATTACGTGGTTAAATTTTTGTATCAACAATTGGTACTTGTTTCTCCAAATAAGCCATTTTTTCAAGTCACACACAATAAGAAAATAAAGAATATTGTTAAACTTACTTGCTAAGTTGACCTATGATTTTTGTTTTCACTTATTTACTTTTGTATGAGTAATATGCAGGCTCATGTACTATTGCTGTTTCGATTTTGTCTCAGATGTATTCATAGGTATAATATCCAATATCGCCACATATTTTTTATAATATTTTTATCATCCTCAATAATCCATCGAACTGAGTGTACCGTCCTCTTTGCTTTATATATATATATATATATATATATATATATATCCATATATATATATATATATATATATAATTTGTGGTAAAGTATTCTAAATACCTAACTATAAAACCAACAATTAACACTTAAAATTCAAATAACACGATATTTGGTAATTTAATGGTAATTTGGTAATTTTTGGGTATTTAAATGAACTGGAGTGCTTATTACCATGTGACCAATATTTTAGTACAGAAAAATAATATGTCTGCTGTCTTATTCCCTTTCAGCACTAAACGCTTATTTTGATATGGTATTGAATACAATAGTAGAAAGCGGCCATATGTATGCATGTTGCTACTCTAAATGATGCGCAACCTATAGGTCTAATCAACAAGAGCCTAAATATGACAACTTTTCCAAGACGAGGTGAAAAATAGAATATCGCTACCGGATGAGGTCTTTAAAGGAACCCACACTTTCTTATGTTTTATGAACAGCTTACCTAGCTACACACTAGTTTAGTTAAAAGAAACTCGAATGTGCCAAACTCACTATAGCATGAGTTTAAACTACACACAATCTTGAATTTTTTTTATCTATGATGATTACAAACGTGTTTCTTGAAAGACATACATTATATTCACTTTAGAATCCTTTTTTCTAGGGCCCATACACAGGGTGTCCCAGAAATCGACGATCAAACGAAATCAGGGGATGGAGGAGGTCAATTACAATCAAAATAACCATAATGTTATTATCCGATTGTTGATGGTTCAAAAGATATTTCAAAATTTGTATTCGCAAAATTGTTGCTCGAAAACAAGTTTTCCGGTAGGGTTAGGGTTAAGACAGCTGATTTTCTAGAGATAAAACTAAGGTTATTACTGTTAAATATATATAAGAACAACACCCCTTAATGAATAACTCCAAAATTAAAACTAACACGTTTTGTTTTTAACTTTGACAGTGGATAATAGAAATCATGAACATGCTGTTTTGAGAAGGATCCATCCTTTAGGCACAATCTTACAAATTACATCCAGCCAATAAGTCATAATACTTTGGCTTATAATTTTCATGTTGATGCATTAGGCATGTTCAAGAAAAAATACAGATTTTGAAATAACTTTTGAATTATCAACAATCGGAAAATAACATATATATGGTTATATTGATTGTAAATGACCTCCTCCATCGCCTGATTTCGTTTGATCGTCGACTTTTGGGACACCCTGTATATTATAACAACGTCCTTTTTTTATGGCGGTCCCATGGATGGAGGATCGATCGAGGCAAAATGCCAGTCACAATTATTTCTCTAGTACTCCAGTATAGTGATTAAAAAAAAATAAAATAAAATCACACCACAGAAATTGACATTCTCCCTTTAGGAATCATTGCGATTGTGTCAGAAGAAGAGTACAGAGACCCTGTGACTGGTGCCAATTACCACAGATGGGATTCGAACCCGCGCAGATAATAGCTCTCAGAGTAATCGCCATCTGCTCACCTGGCGCTTTACCCATTTAGCTATCGCCGTGGTTAAAATTGTTATAATGTTCCTAGAGTCTTAACCTGAGAAAACACCTGATTAGTTTTCGAAAATATTTATAAAGTGCTGCAATATCAGTTTTATGTTTGTTAATTTGAGATACACCAAATATATATTGTTACGTATTTCTCTCTAAATAATTTACTTCTTCACTACTAAACACTTTTATTAACACTTTACAACTCGTGGGTCTTAACCATGTAACATTCAAAACATAACTAACTAACTCCTAGCAACAACACCAGTATTTATAGTTTCTACATTTCTAGAAAATTCTTTTGACATCCAGAATATTCAATATGTCATTCCGTACAATTCTTTACTAATAACTAGTGTGTATAAGCTAAATAAACTAAGTATGTAAACTATAACACTTAATAAATGTCAGCTGTCACAAATGTCACTTTTACAAATGTCACATTGCTCCCCTCTTTAAGGTTATTCGTCCCGAATAACACTGTCTTCAGTCCTAGGCGGTGGATCCTCGACGACAAACCAGTCGGGTGGATTATGTCCTGTATACCTTGCGAGTCTCTCCAGATGGACCACCTTCGGCTTGCTTCTTGGAGATAATTGGATGCGGTAGACCAGGTCGTTAATTTTCTTTATTATGGTGTACGGACCTTCCCAGTTGCTCTGAAGCTTTGGACTTTTTCCTTTCGTCCTTTTTGGGGCGTACAACCATACTGCATCACCAGGCTTAAACGCAATCTCTGTTGATGTAGTGTCGAGACGCTGTTTCATTTTGTCGCTGTGCATTTTCAGCTTCTCGCTGGCAAATCGATGGATCCGGTTCAATCTCTCTCGCAAGTTTTCCACAAATTCGGGCAGAGATCGTTCCTGATTTTCTTCTAGGGGATGGCCAAGTATGAGGTCAGTAGGCAGCTTCATTTCTCTTCCAGAGGTCAGCATAGACGGAGTGTAGGTAGTTGACTCATGCTGGGAACTTCGATATGACAGCAAGAACAGAGGCACCAATTTGTCCCAGTCCCTTTGATTTTCAGACACGAATTTAGACAGGTAGTGGCATATGGTTCTGTTGTGGCGTTCAACCATGCCGTTCGACTGGGGATGAAGCGCAGTAGTTCTGGTTTTCTTGATGCCCAGTATTTTCATTACCTCTTGCCACAGCTCTGATTCGAAGTTTCTTCCTTGGTCGGAATGCAGCTCGAGGGGTACTCCATGCCTAGCTATGACATTCTCGATGAACGCTTCGGCTACTGTTTCTGCTTCTTGATTGGGGAGAGGTACTGCTTCGGGCCATTTTGAGAAATAATCCATTACCACCATCAAGTACTTGTTTCCACGGTCGGTTACAGGTAATGGTCCAAGAATGTCTACTGCTACCCTCTCGAATGGTGCTCCGGATAAGTACTGCACCATTTTACCACGGTTTCTTGTTTTTGGTCCTTTTTTTGGCAGAGCACAGATCACATCTCTTGCACCATTCTTCGACGTCTCGGCGACAGTTTACCCAATAAAATCGGTCCCTTACTCGAGCCAAAGTCCTGGTTACTCCAAAATGTCCTCCGGATGGGCTGCTGTGAAGCTCTTCTAGCACTTGGTGGATTCTTGCTTTAGGCAAGACCAACTGGTAGACTGCGGATACTCCATCGGGGCTCTCCCACTTCCGATGCAGTAGGCCATCGCGAAGACAAAGGGAACTCCATTGAGCCCAGTATCCCTTTATAGTCGTACCATATCTGGAAACTTCCTGCCAAGTTGGTCGAACTCCATTCTTTACCCAGTTCCGGATTAACCTCAGATCATTGTCTTTCTTCTGGCTTTTCATCACTTCCTCCGAGGACCATTCATCTTCGACTTGTACGGTTGTTGTCATTAACAGTTCATTGCAGGTATCTTTCGAAGAATCGAGTACAGGTAGAACTCCTTCAGTCTGTCCATGACGTCCACGCAAATGGACCTGTTCTTGTTTCTTGATATCACCGACTCGTTCATCATGCTGTCCACAAAAAGGTGCTGATCGGACATCTCCCGCACCTGCGCGTCCTGGTTCTCTCTCTGCATCGCTACTTTTATCTGAGATAGAAATCTTGGGGCATTGAGTATAAGTAGTCGACACGCGCCCCCTAGCATCGACTAGTTGTCGTTTTCCGAATCTCTCGGTGGTGATCTGCAACGAGATTCTCGCTTTGGGGAAGGGAAGCGACCATTCTTGTCCTGCGTACTCGTCGGTGTCCTGCTTTCTTCTCTCCAGTTCCTTTCATTCGGGCTCCTGGATCTCGACCTATGTTCCGGTTGTCGATCTGGCGAATAAGATCTTGGCTGGTACCTTGTCTTGGCTCTGCAAAAACGCTGTAGATGTCCAATTTTCCCGCAGTTGTAGCAGCGCCTAGTCTCCTTTGGTGGTGAGTTTGAAAGTCTCCTCTCATTTAATGTCTCTCGTATTATTTTCTTTATGGTGTCTTCAAGTGACTGGCATTCTTCAAATTTTACTTGCCTTACTAGAGGTTTGTAGTTTCTCGAGGCTTCTTTAGCTGCTTTAAATTCCAGGGCAGCAATGAGTGCATCACTGATCGTGGCGTGTCTCCCAAGTCGCAAAGCTTGCTGCATTTCGGTGTCTACTAGTCCATCAATAAAAGTTTGGATGCCAATTTGTTCTAGAAATTCTTTGGGCGCTTGAGGGTATGCCAAATGAATGAGGCGTTCGATGTCAGCTTCATATTCTTGAAGAGACTCATTACTTCTTTGCTGTCTGCTCTTGATCTGGGACTGATAAACTTGGCGGAGATATTTGTGTCCATACCTTACTTCTAATGCGCCTATAATCCTGTCGTAGTCATTTTGCTGCTCTTCCGGGATGCTCTGTAAAATTTCTAAAGCCTGACCTCTGAGAGATATGACAAGCGAAGTAGCCATTTCTTGGGAAGTCCATCCGTTCGCCTTTGCAGCAGCCTCAAATTGTCTGCGGTACATGGACCATGATGACTGTCCATCGTACGTGGGAGGCTTAAGTATTTTGTGTACTGACCTTTCAGCATGCATATAGGTTGAGTTTTGTAATGGAATACCTGGTGAGGTCGAATAATCTCCTGAATCGGCTATTGAAGTACGATGTAGTTGGTGCTCCAGCCCATTTATCTTTTCCAGTATTTCTTTTTGCACTTGCCGCCTGGTGTCTTCTAATTTTCTCTCGATTTCTTCTTTATTCTCTTCAACCACCTTCTCAATTCGATTAACTTTAATGCCTACCTGGTCAATCTGCTGTTCCACGCCATCAATCCTCCCAGAAAATGCATTCAACCTGGTGTTTATTACTTGTTGGGACTCACAAATTTCCTGATGACGCCTCTCGGCCTCGTCTCGGTCCTCTTGTCGTCGCCGTTCGTCCTCCTGTCGTCGTCGTTCTGCCTCCTCACGGTCCTCTTGTCGTCGTCGTTCGTCCTCCTGTCGCCGCTTTTCCTCTCGCCTTTCTGCCTCTTCACGGTCCTCTTGCCGTCGTCGTTCTGCCTCCTCACGGTCTTCTTGTCGTCCTTGTTGCAAGAATTTTAGTATTTCACTTACATCCATTGTCGTCGTTTCTTCGTTGTATTTTGTAGATCTCGTATTCACCATATACAATTTTCCTCTTCAAATTCTTCGTTAATCCCACCGCTGTCACCAAAATGTTACGTATTTCTCTCTAAATAATTTACTTCTTCACTACTAAACACTTTTATTAACACTTTACAACTCGTGGGTCTTAACCATGTAACATTCAAAACATAACTAACTAACTCCTAGCAACAACACCAGTATTTATAGTTTCTACATTTCTAGAAAATTCTTTTGACATCCAGAATATTCAATATGTCATTCCGTACAATTCTTTACTAATAACTAGTGTGTATAAGCTAAATAAACTAAGTATGTAAACTATAACACTTAATAAATGTCAGCTGTCACAAATGTCACTTTTACAAATGTCACAATATTAATTTAGTCATTAGTCATGAACAAAAGCGACTAATGACTAATTTATTCATTAATCATAACAACAATGATTAATGACTAATCATTAGTCATTAATCAAATTAATCATTAGTCACGGAAATCACTCATGAATAAATTAGTCATTATTCATTAGTCACGACTAACCGTCAATCAGTAGCCATTAATCATGAGTAATCATCAATCATTAGTTGTTATCAGCCATGACTAATCACAGAAAATTAAAAAAAAAAAAAGAAAATGAAATAAAGTGTAAAGAACGAAGTTGTAAAAAACTACGAATTGAAAAATACGGACAAATTATAAAAAAAAAAACAAAATAGTTTATTAAACTTAAAAATTAAAAAAATAAGTATTAACAAAAGTAGTTAACTAAAACATATTGTGTACAGATCAATACATCAGTTGGCAATAGCGAAAATATCATATTTTTCGTTATTCACCCCCCCTCCTTGGCATGGCACAATCCTTTTGTTAATTAAGTACTCCGACAAGCCGAGCGCCGCGGCGCATGGACAGCGTGCCTGATGTCACGGCGCTCCCATCTACTACCGGCATCTGCTCAGCCGCAGTCTTGTCTTCAACTAATGTTTTCTCAGTAAAATCTTGGTCGAATCGATCCAAAAAAAAATCAGCGTGTAAAGTAAGCCTTCTACTTTACATCGAGCCCTTGTTTATTAAAACATATTAATTAGAACGACCAGAATACCGTTGTAAAAACAAAAGCTATCACGGCTCCTATTGGTCGGATCGGGACGTTTTTTTTAACTCTTGTTTTTTTCAAGCACTATTCGATGCAATTGGTTTGCAATCTGTATATAAAAAAACGCCGAGATAAGGCCCATAGTCATCGCATTTTGCGTTATTTTTTTTAATAACTTTTTTTATTTTGCTATTTAAAAATCTGAAATTTGCAGTCGATCTTTTTTTACCACATCTTGATATCCTATGTTTTGCGGAAGTTATACGCGCTCGCGTTTTCAACTTTATAATTTTGAAACAGGCCGCCATTTTTAAATTGCGCGTCCGGATTGTAGGCG